TTCTTTTTTTATTGCTGAAGAGTGTTGAACTTTCTTCTTCTGTGTATACTGTACAGACGTGAATTTACATTTCCTTCAGCCTGAGGCTTTTGGTGTGAAAGCTTTTACATTTGCCAAAAAAAACTTTTTATATTAAAAGCAAACAAGTAAGCCCAGCCCAGATTAAAAAGTAACGCAAAAGTAATGTAACATATTACTTTCAATAAAAAGTAACTAAGTAACATAATTAGTTACTTTTTTAGGAAGTAACTGTCACGAATTCGGTCCATGGACTTCCGTTTATTCACCACCAGAGGTCACCCTTTCCTTTACATTGACTCTCGCATTACTCAAACTGTTGCATAGCACCCCGGACTACATATCCCATCATTCCTTGCATGATTTGCACACTGCACTGATTTACACTCATTGCACACAGCTGTTTCTAATCACCTCACTCACTATATAACACCCACTCTAACCACCTTTCTCTGTTGAGTATTGTTTAGCCTGTACCCCTTTCCGAGTCTCCGTGGTTTCCTGTGTTTTGCCTTGCCTGTTTTTGAGGTTTCTGATCTTTGCCTGTTTTCTTGGTTTTCTCCCTCTCGTCTCGCCCCTGTGATTCTGTCTGCCGATCGGTGACCTACGCTAGCCCTGGGACTATTCTTGTGTTTTGCCCGCCATATACCTGTTTGCCATTGTTTTGACCCTGCCTGTTATACCACGTCTCTTGAATAAAGCCTGCAGATGGATCCACACGTCTCACGTCTTGTCAGCCCCATTACAGTAACACAACATTGTAATGCATTACTTTTAAAAGTAACTTTCCCCAACGCTGCTAATGACAACACATTGCAAAGACACTAGGACATTATATATGTACTAGAATTGTTTATGTACTCCCGACATCTGAGCCACTGTATTTTGTACAGTGGAATACTTTTATTTTTATTACAGAAAATTGCACGTTTTTATGTGTAAACTCTGTTTTTGTGATCTTTTGTTTTTGACATAACCTTGTTTGTATTTGTCAGTTTAAGTGCAATAAGATGTGAAAGAGAACTTAGTTTAGTATGTGACATCATGTAACAGTCGGTGTTTTGTTTGCTACAGGTGTGTGTGCTCAGGGGAGTGGGTGTGATATTGGACTAGATGCCGTTTAATATGCATAAAGAGAGATCATCTGAATAATTAATGTTTTATCACTTATGTTTAAAGTATAAATCTGTCTCTTGTCTCCAGAACGGGTAATTGTCTCACCTGGGGTTGGAGGTCCCTGGTCCATCACTGAATGTAAGGGGTTGTCTCATGGATTCATCACTCTTCATAGACACACAACTGGGTTCTGAAGATGATGCTCTCTGGTTCTCGTAGTGAACAACATCCCCCTCCTCTCTCTCTTCATAGAGACTCATTTTAACAGGCCGCGTTCTCCTGCAATTTAATCGGGACCTTTTTTAACCCTTTACAAACACTGAGAACATAAATGATGCAAACCAGAAAAATAATAAACAATTATATCCGCTGAGGCATGAAGAACTTCTGTCACTAACATAACATATATTCCACAAGAATATGGTTTATGTACTTTCATTTCATATTATTTTGGATTTGTTATAGTCTCCAAATTAGAGCATAAGTGTTAATGGGCTTTATGCGCAAGAGAAACAAGTGTGCTGCCATCTTTAAAATTCTGTCTTTAAACTTCCGTTTTTGCAGTAGCTCTTAAGTATCGCAGTTGAAGAGTAATTAGCTAGTGAAGTGGATTTACATTTTGTAGAGTTAACTAAAGTTATCATGAGCATTTTAATATTCAAGGCAGATGTCATTACAAATGTCAGCAGACCGGGAGGTTTTTAAAAGGAGTAGTTAATTCATAAATTTTTAAGACCTTAAGTTCACGCTGTGGAAATACAAACGGAAGACAGAAAACGAGTGCAGCGCTAAAAATGGGTGGAGTTACATAAGGTCTATACTGGCTCAAAGAAAATGTGTGTATATGTGCTACTTTAAGAGTGTACAATAAATAAAGCAGGACTGCTGAGCATGTGTAAAAGATTGTATTAAGCTATAAGTTAGATTTTTTTCTTTATTTTTTTATTGTTTTGAGTGCTAGATCCATCACTCAACTGTCTATTGCGAAATTACAGTGGTTGTTCGGGGGAGAGTAGAAAGGAAAGGAGAAATGAAGCAGATCAGAGAGATGAGCTAAGAGATTTTGGTAATGAAAAGAAGGTATTATTGTACTAAAGCACTGAATTAAGAAAGTAACTGTGGAAGGACACTAAAGACTGAATTTGCTCCGGTTTCATCATGATTATTGACTAGTGGGGAACGTCTCAGATTATGTATATAAAGAGAAATGAAAAAAAGAACTCAATGCTACATCATGTTTTGATGCTCTGGGAACACAGTTGTGTGAGCTGGTGTCTGAATCACATGTGGCACTGGATTACATAAGTAACCTGAGATGTTCCCTTTTGAATGGGACTCGATGCTGTGTTATGGCATTGACGCTATGGTAATGTTAATAAAAACACCACCACACTAAGGAGGGGAATGTCTGTCCAACAAGGCTGTGTAACACTGGCACAGACAATTGTTGAGTGCAGACAAGACTGGAAAGAAAGCTTGCAGGATGACCAGCTGGTCAATTGCAGAAGCCACCTTCGCAATGCATTCTGGTCTAGGGTCCAGAATAGCTTTGACCATTCCAGGAGCAAAGTCTAATCAGGAAAAGACAACTGACAGGGCCTGCAGATCTCCTACTCTCTTAAACAAAGTCTATGCTAGTAGAAGAGCCACTTTAACCCTTAAAGACCTAGAATATTTTGGGGCACCTGACTTGCCTGTATTATACATTTCTCTTTTCTTTCTTTCTTTTTTTCAAAACTATTCTAGCAGTCAGCATCAAGTGATATATCATTATACACGGAGACATTTAAAAAAAATAACTAGACTGAAACTTCAAGTTCTCCTAAGGATGAATGAATTTGTCAGAAGTATCAACAATCGTTCCTGGTTGGCTCAGATGAACAAACTGCATAGGTTTCTTTTGACGGATCAATACTGATCAAAATGTGATGACGTAACCACAATCACAATGGATCCTCTGAATGTCCACCTCAGACAAATGCAATACCTCCGAAAAGCCAAGAATCTCCTCTCTCTCAGTCTTCAAGGGTTTAGAATCATGAATCTTGTGGCCTGCTGATACGCTTCAGCTGCCTATCAACATGCAAAAATCGAGACACCAGGGGTGCCTACCCTTACGAAAAAGAAGTTTATTCAAATGTGCTATTAGTATACTTCTTTTAAATTAAAAATAGGAAAGTAAACTTTTAGTCTACTTTTTATGTACTTCTCAGAAATGGGCTTTATCTACTTCTCAGAAATATACTTAAAATGACATTTAAAGGCAGAGTAAGTGATTTTTCAAAAACACTTTAGAAAACTGATTCGGGCCGAATCGCAAAACAAACTTGTAGCCAATCAGCAATAAGGGGCGTGTCTACTCGTGATGTGGAAGAGAGCGCGTTCAGTGCATGGGACGGACATTAGCCGAGCCGAGCGACAGATAGAGATGGCGGATAAAAAACAAAAGAGGAAAATGTCTGCGGAACGATAAGGCAAGAAGTAGGACCCATGTAAATATCGGATCAGCTTTCCAGCGCTGGAGAGAACTTAAGGAGCGGAAGCCTGCGATCGGACGCCGAGGTTGATTTGTTTCTTCTCAATAAGTGAGTAACACCGTGTCTACAACAGCTAAAGTCTGCCTACACTGGACGCGATCAAACGACCGTTGAAAACCATTTGAAAGTTGTGTCAGCACGTCATAAATAGAACCCGGCAGCAGTTTTCTGT